AAAAAAAAAAAAAAAAAAAAAAGAAATAATGTCAACCCAAAGACCACATGAAATAGCTTTCTCACTCACAGGCCACGGAGGAAAAAGAACTGCAAAGAGCCCTAAGCACCCTCAAGGGGAGCAGGAGCCTTACAAGGGAAAGGTCGTGCCAGGTGACGTGGGTGTTTCAACAGACGTCACCTTGTTGGAACCTCATTCCTGTGCTAGGCCAAGGCGGCTAAATCCATAAATGTGTAGAAACGGAGGGTTCCAAGAGTCAGAATTTGAATCCAAATCGCCTAACTCCGAGTCTTCTCACCAGTGAATGCACCCTACTCTGACTGTCCTCAGAGGATGAACACTAGGTCTCTGCAGAGTTTAAGCACAATCTCCAAACAACAGCTCAGAAGATCTAAACTAAGCATCTCAGTTGTCAAGTTGACAATCCTTTGATAATGCCATGATACAGGGTCTTAAGAGAAACCCAAAGGAAGACAAAGGAATATTTTCTTAATTTTTTTTTTTTAGTTGTAGATGAACACAATACCTTTATTTTATCTGTTCTATTTTTATGTGTTGCTGGGGATTGAACTCAGTGCCTCACGCATACTAGGCAAGTGCTCTACCACTGAGCCACAAGCCTAGCCCAGACAAAGCAATACTAAGCACAAGTTACTTTTTTTTTTTTAAAGGGACTAACAGACTGAGCAGCAAAAACTTAGCAAGGAATTAACTCAATAGACCTCAGAGTGCTTAGAACGAGCCCAATGTGGATACAGACCATTTTTAACAATGATACACACTCCATGATATATCCTGCCCAGTGCTTTGACCCTCAGAAGGCGCCCAACAGTACAGCAGGATACAATCCCAAGCCAGTGGGTCAGGCCTCCTCCATAACTTAAAAAGCTTATTAATGTCATTTCTTGGCTTCTCTTCCCATGTTCAATTTGCATAAATGAYGCTGGTTGCTTTATCTGTCAAAAGCACATCGTGCAGGAAAGGTGAAAGGAAATAAAAGCCAAATTACTGTAAGCCTAGAAAACAGGATGTACGAAAAAAGTACAGAGGAACTGTGACTTCAAACAGTCAAGGCACAGGGTGAGTGTTGGGGACAAAAAGGGTGATCTTCAAGTCCTARAGGGGGGACCACAGGAAGCTCAAGGAGGCTGTGTACCTGTGGCTCATTAGTGGACCCAAACAGAAATGGGTCTAAACAATACAACCAAAGAAAACAGAAAACACAAAAAAGGTTCATTTGGAGCAGACGTGGTAACTAACAGTAATAGTACCGTCAGTGAACCTAGAAGTTTGATTTTACTAGAGATACCAGTTCTGATC